GCCCAATTCCTCTAGCCTTCGTCCAACGGACGCCAATGGAATGGTAGCTGTGTTCTACACCACCAAGCAGCCTAACATCGACCCACGGAGAAAAGTAATGAAGGCAAAACCTACGAATGGAATACCAGGCCATACTCATCAAAATACAACACCAAACAGGGCGGATAGAAAGAAGGAAGCGAAACATCTATTCAAATTTGGCATCCACCACTGTATATTCACAAAAATATAAATAAATTAAGATAATCACAGGAAGTAACATTCAGCGTACAAATTGTGCTGAGAACATTGAGTTCAGAACAAAAACTCATCAACAACTCGAGGAGGTATTTGGTAAGGTTGAGGGTGGTCAGTACACCTCTTTGAAGGGAAGAGGTGCTAATTTCTCAAGATAATATGAATCTAAGCAGGATGAAGCTCCTTTCAGCAAGTCAGATGTGGCACAAGGCAATGCACTTTCAGAGGATGAAACTTGGTTGCCCTTATCACAGCGCCGTCGGCATTTTCCACGACCCTTTTTGCAGCTAATACGCACAACCCCATCAGCATGACTGCCAATCGTCTCCAAAGGTGGAGGCTTCGGCACATTTTCTATTAAATGGTTCGCCTCCCCATCCCTTTCATTGCCATTATTTGGCCTTCCTTCCTGCTTTCTGTGGAAGATCTCCTCACGTAGATGTTTGCCGGCGTGCGTGCTTTAGCTCTGCATGACGAGCAATTTTGTCATCCCTCGCGCCTTCGCTTGGGTGCCGTGTGCGCTCGTGATTGGCTCAGCCAAGGAAGCCGTAGTCGTGCCAGAGGCAGTCAAAACTTTGCCTTTCCTCTTTATTTACCATCCCATCACTTGGACTGACAATCCTTGACTAAGTAAGCGAAGCAACACACTGCTTATGTCCTGTGTGTTTGTTCCCCTCCAAGGCCTGACCCGAGTTTACGTCCTTTAGTGGGGCATTTTGAGTCTCTCACTCTGTTTAGCTCTAACCTCTCTGACATTTACTTCCATGAGGCAGCCTGTAAAAGCCTACTCCTCTGAGGACGCTCGCATTAACCCGTTTACTAGAAACCCACACGTTAGCATGTCCGTACATTTTTAGGCTTCAAACTGTTCGTCGTGCTTCCAGTTGTTTTTACAGCGATACAAGTTTAGTCTCATCGAGTGAACACGCTATCAAGACACGCTAGGTCTCTTGTCTACACGGCGACTTGTCCAGCCTCAGGGCTCAAATGGTCTCGTCTCATTGCCTCCCTTTGTTTTCGCATTATGCAACCAAATCTGTACCATGTCCTGCTTAAGAAGAGGAAAGTCCATTTCCTCCGGGATAAAATGAGGTCCATGAAAGAATTTTCACTTTAGGGTAGAAGGGAGGCATCACTTCATCCTCATCCACTATGCCTAGCTGGCCAGTAGAATATGATGGGGTGGAGGGCGCCTCCACCAATCGACACATTCAGCAGATTTCGCAGCAAATGCAAGCTGTGCACATTACTGCTTTAACTTCACTAGTTTACTCATTTCAACGGCTTAAACAGTTTGCTCTTCGAGTCACAATTCGGGCCCCAAAACTGTATCTTCAAGGTGGGCATAGAAGGCGTTATCTGGACCGGGTTTTACATTCGGTCAGAGGCTTGGCTTACATCACGAAGTTGAATGAGCCGCGCATCCACCTCTCAAACAAACTGATGCCCGGACCCTGTCTGACGGTGCTGGATGCGACTGATGGACATGCGAAGTCATTCACGTGGACGTGGCGTGAACACGACCAAAAAAATCTCTTTATTCCCCGGGTGCATGATCAAGCGACCAAAACATGCAAAAGTAGAACGTGTGGGTGAGTAACCCCCACAATTTAATCCTCTGGTGTGACTGTGAAAACAATGGCTTCGTATTGCGTTAATTTTTGCAACATGCAGAGTAATCGGGCGTTTAGCAGCGGTGCTGGAGTGTATCAACATCTTTCGTGCTACCGCAAGTCAAACAATACATTGGTTTGTGGGACGTGATAGACTTTAAGTAACGACAACTTTGCTGTTTACACAAGGCAGTACTTTTTGCAACCAAACCAATTATAATCTCACACAGGCATAAAGAAGGTGCATGCCAAGTTGTCATTTGTGCGATCGCAGTCACTTCTGCTCTAGGTGGGGTCTGTGGCGCCTCCCCTCTACCAGAAGATGCCTTCTTAGTCACCACTACTGCCGCTACTTCAGTAGAAGCGAGACACTTACGTGTGAATAAATTTTGGGAAGGATTGAGGGTAAAATCACAAAAAAACTTTGCTATAGACTCCATCAGAAGTCCACAAAAAGCCGTCGTTAGCCCCACCCTTGCCCAATCGCTAAGGATGGATTTCAGAGGCACTAACTTTTCCTTCTTGAACGGATGAAGCCGGTTTACAAATTAGCACAGATCAAACCATAGTAAGGTAAAAAATGACAACAGAAAGGCAAGTAGGATCCAAGAGAAATAAGTAATTAAATGGAGTGCACAATGTCATCTCTGGACCCAAAATGACTCATCAAACAGAAGAACTCGTACGATTAAGGAGGTTTGGTATTTTTAAGCGCCAATTACTGGCTGCCAATGGTGCAAGATTGCAAGCTTTGTGTTGTAAAAACAGTGCCATAAGAAAAAATGAGCAAGTTGAAAGAAACATCTTAATAGACCGATAATTTAACCTAGACATAAGAGTGAAGAGCCCCGACACTAAAGTATACAGAGGTGGAGGTATCCTCGCCCGTGAATCACTTCTATAAATACGGGCACTTGCACTGTAAAAACATCTAACTAAACAACCAAACTTAGTAACTTGGGCTTATCAAGTCGCTGGCGCATTGTCGCATAAACCCATTCCATTGCACAGCTAAGCACAGCACACCCATAACACCAAGAAAATGCAAATAAAGCCTGGCAATTGTTACATTTATGCATGCATGCGTATTGATAAGTGGATCTCTGAAATTAAACGTGATGCAGTATTCCCATGTAGGAAGTAAAAGCTTGTTTCAAATCTCTGTCCAAATATGAAATTCAGTAAACAGTCTCTTAATGAGATATTTTGCAGTTTTATTCTCCCATTAGAAATCTAATCTGCTGCCATGCACCATGACATAGAGTCAAGTTAAAAAACAGCGTGTTTACGATTCCCTGCTTGCCTACACATGTAAAAGAAGCAGTCAAACAAAAGATTGTATCATAAAGAGATGGAATTCTTCCTTCGGATGTAATAGTAAGTAAAAACGCAATGAAGGAACTGAAACAAACAATTTGAGACTTAATTAACGGAGGCTAAATTGATCTTACGCGAAAAAAGCCAAGAGAGCTCTGAACTCATTGCTGCACTGTCTAATCTGCACACTCAAGTATGCAATTTCAATTCAATTAAGCAACAACTTTAAAAATTTCCTCATGCTTTAGTAGCAGGTTTTTTTTTCTTAATGACTTAAGTAGCTCAAAGAGGAGATATAAAAAGTAGGGAGAGGAAAAACTTCTACCAAGAGCATTTTGTAGCTGGTTTCCAGAATGCTACTTTGAGAGCCAACCTACCACGTGCTATGCTAAAATTTTGAAAAAATAAAAAGCACAATTTGAAGGAGCTGCAAAGGACCCATGAATAGTTATGCCTTTATTCGTGAACGTCTTCATAAGCACATAGGGACGATCCACGTATCTGCCTGCATCTCACTGTCAAATTAATTCACATGTGCTAAAATGCGATTCCCAGCAGACATCTTATCAAACATTGAAGTGTCTACTCACGGGACTCTGGAGATTGTAATACTACCTAAGTTTGAAATGAGACTAATTTACAACCCACTCTTCGACACACAGAGGATAAATTAAGAGAAGCGTACACAATCTAATGGCTACCAAGGGTGACTTATGGCAGTGCGTTTACGTACACACGCCCGTCTGGTAGAATACAGCACCAATTCCACTACTTCTGCAACAATGTTAGTTTTCGTGTAACAAAGGTCACTGCACCCTCAAATCGAAAATTTTCACGGTCTGTAATACATGCACAGGCCTGTAAAAAAGTATAAATCAAACTAGAATGTGTTGTGGAAAGTCGCTGGATAAAAAATAAGATGAATTCTACATGCAAACTGAATAAAAGCTAAAAACAGTGAAAGAATTCCGGTGAAATTGAGTTTTAACGAATTGCTTCTAAGATAAACAACAAGAACGGTACTTAGAAAGACGAGAGATATGAGTCCACTAAGCAAAGGCACTTGTATAAAAGAAAATTATGGAATAAAATCTAACGATGCAGCATCCACGTGGCTAAATGCAAAAAGCAATCCAGAAACAGTAGAGTAGCACTAATCCCCTCCAGAATTTATTTATTCGAAAAATGCTCACTTTGCACATCCCCCTTCGTACCAACCTTCTTGGTCTAAAAGTCGGAGGCCTAACTATAATAATGCCTTAAAATATCACAAAAAAGGAGGATTTAGAGCAATATTGTAATACGATAGTGGTTTATCCCACGGTTCTGGTGAGGCGCCACTTTTGTACTTCGAACTAGACCCTTGTACCTCGCTGGGTGGGCTGGCCTTTTGGGCCATGCCAATAGCCCAGACACCTTCTCCGTGCTAAATATATATATTCTGCACGAGTATTGTGTCTTCTTTCGTCTTCAGGGAGTCCGGGGAAGCTACAATATTTCGGTATGAGGTATTATAAGTTGGTCATATGGCTCAAAGTGCGTAAAATACAAAAAAATACATCTAATTATACAATTCTACTCGTTCTTTTATTTATAATAAAAGTGACAAAAAATAATTGGTGATTTTTCGCCTGGCTAAACAATAACCGCAATGCTATTCTTACCTTCTTGAGCTTATTTAAACATCACTAAATAATAATTATTATTAAGGTAATCTCACATTATTATGCGTGTTTAAACTCAGCTTGTTTTAATCGCCCGCAGAAAAACATCTATATCTAGCGGTTGCAGATCAAATCACGCTGTCCTGTGTTGTGTGGCCGATTAGCAATGGGTGACCAAGCCTTAGGTCGTGGAGATTTGATGAATACGGAGGAAATGACGTATATCGACGGGGTGAAAGGTGATATGAGAAAAGTGGAAGACGAGTATCCTCTACTCACTAAGGAGGATTTGCTACGATTAGATGCTGAAGAACCAATTTGGCGTCGAGTGCGAATTGCACTCATCGTGCTGTTTTGGGCAGTGTGGATTTGCCTCATCGTCGCATCCATCCTCTACATCGTGTTCACACCAAAATGTCCACCACGACCGGTGCAGTCGTTCTGGCAATCGAAAGTTGGCTACTGGGTAAATCCATTCTCGTTTAAGGACTCGAATGGAGACTTGGTTGGTGATCTGAAAGGTAGGTGATGATTGTGTGTCACAACGGCGATGCTTGTTGTGTAGGTTTGTTGAGTGCCGGAGACTACATCCAGAAGAGTGTTGGTGCTGGCTTTGTCATTCTGACTGCCATGTCACCACTGTACCCGAAGAAACTGGCTGCGGTGGCCAACGTGTCCTTCGAGGACATTCACCCGAGTCTGGGCACCATGGATGATTTGGGTGCATTGTTGCGTGGCTTCAAGAAGAGGGGCATGCAGACTGTTATCTCGCTCAATTTCAATTCGGTGCCGTTAAGTCACGAGCTTGCTCATCCGGCCTACTTGATTCCTGCCGGGTCTGTTGCCAAGGTAAGAATGGTGTAGTGAGTGGTTTGACACTGCCTGTTTGCAGTTTTGTCGTGCGGGCAACGACAGTGCGGAGTTGGTGGGTGGTAAGAGGTTCTACTCGACGTACGGAATGGGCTCGGGTGTGGTGGATTTGAATCTGAAGTCGCCTGAGGTGATGGAGAAGGTGAAGGGTGCGGTGCGGTTCTGGTTGCACAGGGGCGTGGATGGCATTCTGCTGTCTGACGCTGCGTTCTTTGTGGAAGAGGGTAGCTGTGGCACGAGTGCGTGGATGGACGAATTCCCCACCTGCAAGCTCTACACGAACGGGACAGTGTCGGTGGTGCAGGAGCTGAGAAAGGTTGTGGATGAGGTGTCGAGTGAAACATCGCGCCAGAGGTAATGTGGTGTCAGGTGTGACATGTTGTGTGCTCTGTGTAGGGTGCTTATTGCTGATCCTGGCAACACTGGGTACGGCGCATCGAAGAGTGAGGATGCAGAGAAGTTGCTTGGCACGGAGGAGGTTCCGGGAGCGCATCTTGTGATCAGTCAGCAATTCGCCTTCAACCGTGGATTGTAGGTGTTGCTGTTGATGATGTTGATGTTGGTGTTTTTTAGCGTCAAAGGTGGGGAAGTGAGCGTGAAGAGTTATTTGGATTCAACGAATGCGTCTGCGCGAAGCAAGATGGCATTGGTGGTTGCATCACCGAGTGACAAGCCGTACACGAGTGTCTATTCGACTGCATCGACGTTCTTGTTGCAGGGTGAGTTGTGTGATGAGTGGGCTTTGTTGCCGTTCGTGGATGTGCGGGCGCATATTTTGGCGTGGATATTGTTGAATGCCTTTGTGATTGGTTTGTCTGCTGTGGTTGTAGGTACGCCTGTGATCTACGCCGGAAGTGAGCTTGGGTGGAGTCCGCTAAGTACGTTGCCACCACCAATGTTGTATCCGTTTGGAGAGCGGCCCATTGTGGATGATGTGAGCAGCCACTTGCCGATGCCGTGGGATTCGCACGGTGTGGGTTTCTCGGACTCGGAGAAAGTGGGTACAGCGTACGCGGCGTACTTTGCGGGATTGGGAGTAGTGGAGACAGTTGAGGTAATTGTCTGCTCACGTGCGTGTGTGTAACATTCACGTTTACTGATGCACACACACGCACACGCACACGCCCACGTACACTTTTGGGTGATGTATGTGTACCGGCTTTGTGGCCGTCTGTTTACCCAGTTTTTCTTTCTATCCTCATGCGTCTTACCCTTTTGCAATTGCCTTTTGTAGTCAGCGTTGGCGGCCGGTCGTGGTGCGAGTATGTTCAGTCTGACCACCTCTCTGGTGCAGCTTCACGATGAGTACCCAAGTCTCCTGTGGGGTTCCTTGAACGCTACGGTGGATGTGGCTAAGGTAGTGGTTGTTGGTGTTTTCGCATTGTACCGTGTTGTGGGTGGGTGTTTTGTCTAGGCACAAGTTGACCTTCGTGTGTGGCCTGGGTTGCAGGTGGCGGGAGTGGAGGTGTTCAAGCGCAGTGCCGTCGGTTTCGACAGCATCGTGGTGGCGATGGTGGAGGCTGGAGGAGCGAGCTCAGTAGTGGACTTTTCTGCGGAGTGTTCGGCCCTTGTTCCGTTGGTTGTGCACCCACCGAATGATGCGTTTGCAACAGGGGTGGAGTTGTCGAGCTTGAAGGTCTACTTTAAGTCGGAAGTGGAGCGCAGTCTCTACGTCTTCAAGTGTAGTGTTTAGATGCACGCTGTTTGCTAATCGTTGGCAAGGTGTCTGCTGTTCTGTCTGTTTTTGTGGTGTTACAACATTTGTAGAAATCTGGTAGCAATAAATGCTTTTGGTGACCCTCGGTGTTGTGTTGTTGCGTGGGAAATGCGATAGGCCGCTGAATGGGTCGTGCGTTGGAGTAGTCGCTGGGGTGAGGCGAGTGTGGAGGGGTGAGTGGGAGTGTGGGTGGGTGGGTTGTGGTATTTTGGCAGGGCGAGTGGTTCGTTCCTCTTGCGTGGTGTGTGGGTTGTTTGCGCCGTGCTGATGGAAGCGGCTTCGTGTGTTCTCTTGCGTGCATTCACGTCCACCATTTCTCTTGCTGTGGTCCGGACGCACACCGCGTTTCTCTTTTTGTGCCTCTTCTTC